TGTGCAAGACAGTGCCCTAACTTGAGACGAAAAGATAAAGCAAGCTATATCATTGCAGCGCCTGCGGCGCTGTATTAGCCACATACGAATCTTAAGACTTTTATTTTGAAATTTTCAGTGAGCTTCATTTTAAATGGCCAATGTAATCCCATGTGTACATTTTTTGGTAAAATCAGACATAAAATGGTAAAAGAGCACTTAATTGATGGAAAATTGTCAAGGCTATTATTTTGAAAAATTTTAAAGCTTAATTTAAAATTTTCACACTAATTCCATGTGTAACAATGGTTGGTTAAAAAGAGTTATAGAAGGCCCAAAAACAAGCAGTTCTAAAGTCCAGCCTTTTCCTCCGAGTTCTGCAATAGTTAGAACTACAGTGATGCGGTTTTTGTAGTCCTAATCAGCTGGCCCTGCTGTGTTCCATTGCTATGGTAATGGATCCTCTGCAGGCTGTGAGTCAGACAGGGGGAGACATAATTCTATCAGTTTGTGGCAGCCATTTTCACTAAAATAGGCATGAGCCGAAAGGAGTCTTAAGGCTTTTATTTTGAAATTTTCAGTAAGCTTCATTTTAACTGTCCAAAATAATCCAAAGTGTAACATGGTTTTGTTAAAAAAGTCACATACTCCCCAAGAGAGCAATTCCATAATATAAAAGAATGACAGGGCTTTTATTTTGAAATTTTTAATTCAACTTAATTTAAAATTACCACACTAATCCTGTGTGTAACAATGGTTGGATAAAGTCAGTTATAAAATGCCCAAAACACAAGTAGTTCTAAAGGCAACACACCTTCCTCAGAGCTCTGCATAATAAAAACTACAGTGATGCGTATTTGTAGTCCAAACCACTGGCCCTGCTGTGCTCCGTTGCTATGGTAATGGATCCTCTGCCAGCTGTGAGTCAGACAGGGGAGACATAATTGTATCGTTTGAGGCAGCCATTTTTACTAAAATAGGCATGAGCCAGAAAGGATCTAAGGCTTTTATTTTGAAATTTTCAGTAAGCCTCGTTTAAATGTCCAATCTATTCCATGAGTAACAGTGATTGTGTTAAATCAGTTCTAAAATGCTCCAAACAGCAATTGATATAAAAAATTGTCAAGGCTTTTATTTGAAATTTTCATTAAGCTTAATTTTATTAAGATTAATTAAACTTAATTAACACTAATCCCATGTGTAGCAAAGGTTGGTAAAATCAGTTATAAAATGCCCAAAACAAAAGTAGTTCTAAAGGCCAGCTCCTTCCTCAGAGCTCTGCCATAGTAAAACTACAGTGATGCGTTTTTGTAGTTCTAATTTATAATTCTAAGGCCAGCTCCTTCCTCAGAGCTCTGCCAGTAAAAACTACGTGATGCGTTTTTGTAGTTCTAATTATAATTCTAAAGGCCAGCTCCTTCCTCAGCTCTGCCATAGTAAAAACTACAGTGATGCGTTTTTGTAGTTCTAATTAGCTGCTGGCCCTGCTGTGCTTCGTTGCTATGGTAATTAATCCTCTGCAACTGTCATGTGTGTGAGACAGAAAGAATTCTCTTTGTGAGACACCCAGTCAGTTTTCACTGAAAAAGCGGTCCGAACAACTTCTTTCCGTTCGGAAACCATGATACGTATCGGAAAACCGTTTGAAGCGTATGAGAGCGCTATCTTTCGTCTCCTATAGTTCCGCAATTCATATCTGTACATCACTCACATTAATAACAGCGACAAGATAAAAATGTTGTGTGCTGAGGTCTGACATTTTTCAGTAATACATGGAAGTGATCCTGGCTGAGCGAGTCGAAATCCTGTCGCATCACTTTGCTCTGAAGCCCCTAGACAGAAAAACCGTAAGCCCTAGAAAATTTTGAAAACATTTTACCGGAGCAGGCATGCGTATCTATTTCATGACCAATTTTTCATACCCATAGGGCGATATTTGTGGGCGTGACAGCGATTTCAAAATTTATTTGGGGTCGAATCGCAGTGCTTCCCACACTCTAACGAATCGTTGATTACACTCTAGTTTGGGCAGTTTCTAACTGACAAGAATTTTTGATGGTTTTTCGCTTTTTACTTTTTTATCGTAACTGCGAATCCCACCAAAGTAATAGCACCCCTCCCGCGCCGAGCCGCACGATTTGATACCACTTTTGTGGGTGGGCTCGCAGCGGTACGAGCCGCATTCCGGTTGACGGAAGAAAAATAAATAAATAAAGAGACATTCTATTGGGTGTAGATTAATAGGTGCCTGCCATGCAATGCATGGAGGCACTTACTGACTTGCTTTGCAAGTCAGTCACTGCTCTCCTTATGCATTGCTAGGCAGGCCCCAATAAATCAATGTCCACAATGAATAAACCTGGTTATGTGTAAACATTACGATAAACCAGCAACTGTGGATTATCTATAAATGTAAATATAATTAATCGCACAGGTTATAGCGTCATATGAAAACACAAGAAAATAATGCATGTGCCGCAACTGCAATCAGCACAACAGCTGCACTAATTAAGCGATCTTAATAGCGTAAGCTAACGGCTAACTGTAGCTCTCGACGATACAAAGCACACCGCAGCAAGCGAATACATATTAAACATGCTAGGCACAACACATCCGTCCCGCATTTACATTCGAACTAACAAACTACATTATTACTTACATTCAAGGGACGCACACGGGAGAAAGAATAATGACGAAGCCTGCTTTGAGAGCCACACTACTTAATGCTCAGATCTAAAACAGTATACAACAAGCAAGCACGTGGACCACCTAGTGGTCGAAATAAATACTACATCCAAAAACAACTTAATGAATAAAAATCAGAGGCTGAAACAGGTGATTAACTGTCTTTTTGTACACTAAAAAGGCAGAAAAATCCAATTCGGATGGCGAGCCTCAGCCCAGAGACCCAGTGATATGGTAGATAGTGACCCGACTGGTCACTATCCTTGAAAAACTGAAGAGAATTGACTGACACATTGGAAGAGACTAGACAAACACTGAATTGACTGATACATTAAAAAGACTGTTTTTTATGTTTTTAAAAAAAAAACGTACGTAATTTTGTTTCAATTGTACATGAAACTAAATTGTTTTATATGATTATTTTTGCTCTTTCTTATTGACACTTTGTGCACTCCCTTGTTATTCACAGCTAGGCTGCCTAGAATTTAGAATCTTTTGATCAGCCCAACTTTTTCAAATATGCTTCAAGAGTATTAGTATAAGTCAGAAGTAAATTGAATTACATGCCACTTACTATTATCAGGTGTATTTAAAGTAACTTTCCTTGTGGGTTACACCATGCAATGTTGCATGTCTGGCACAAAGGCCATCAAAGAAGAATGAGTGGATACAACACAGTAACCATTTGAAGCACTTTAGAGGCCTTTATTTTTAAAACACGAGTCAAGAGTATGTGGGCACCATCCCAGACATGTAGACAGAAGCCCAGGCATGTTGGCATATACCTGGGAACCACTGAACTGACATGTGCACGCCTCCTTCTGGCCCTCTGTCATGTGCAGTTCTCCTTCTAACATGGACCCATTGGCCCCTTCAGGTGTAGGCAACTGCTCTAAGGTGTGGACCTCCTTCAAGTGTGGATGAGTGGCTCCTCTCCAAGTATTGAGCCAGAACCTTCCATGCCTGTGTGTCTGTCTCAAATCTCCACTTGTCTCACACTGCTCACTCGTTGGCCATGTGGAACAGAAGCCCTTGGGCCAATAGACCAAAGTCCCCATGTGACTTTAGGACCCTCACATTCTGATACCTTAATGGAAGCACAATTAGCAGTCACAGGAGGCCATTGGAGTACAGTGAATTCATTGTCATTTTTATCAGTGAAGAAGATTACTGACTTTTTATAGGGAGAAACTTCCGTCAAAACCGTACTTGGTAACTGTCTGTGTCCTAGAAATACCTGATTCCTTTGGTAGCCCTTCATTGAAAACCTTGAATCGCTCTTAGTCTGATCCCTCCCCAATGGCAGCCTGCCCTGGGAAGCCTCACTATTGGCTGAACCCCAAGACAAAATCTCCATCTGGGTCATGGGGATACTCAAACCCCTCCACCACGTTAAGGTGGCGATTCTTGCGGAGGGGTCACCAGCAGATCGCGATGGATGTTTAATCCAAGGGATCCCCCATCCTGAGCAAGCACAAGGCAACAGTGGAGAGGAAAACTCCCTTTAAAAGGAAGAAACCTCCAGCAGAACCAGGCTCAGGATGAGCAGCCATCTGCCGAGGCTGGTTGGCTTCAAGAGGGCAAAAATAAAAAACACACAAACACAAAACTGTCAACAAACCTTCTGAAAGAAAGACAGATTCAATTACAATATTAGTTTACAATACACATGTTACAAAAGGTAGATCTGGGAAAGTCTATACAATAGATATTAACAGAAAATAGTCTGAACCTGTAGCAGTAAACTACCTCTCACTGGAATCAGTCCCGAAAGAATAACATGAAACAAAAAGTTAAACTTCAATATCTGTGAAAGAACTTAAAGAATTGTGTTAGTGCATCATTATCTACAAAATCATGTTGCTGTATTCCCATATCCTGACAGACAATCTTTCAATTTGATTAAGAGTTTAAGTTTGTGTTTGAATATGTTAATGTTATCAGAAAGTTTATGTCGTTATGTTGTCAACCATGCAGCACATATTCACAGCTGAGGAGATTTTGGCAGACCAATTAACCGAACAGCTAAAGTTTTATTGTGGGAGGAAGCCAGAGCACCCAGAGAGAACCCACAAATCCTACTTTTATTATTTCTGTGGGAGGAAGCCGGAGCACCCAGAGAGAACCCACAAATCCTACTTTTATTTCTGTGGGAGGAAGCCGGAGCTTCCAGAAAGAACCCACAAATCCCACTTTTATTATTTCTGAGGGAGGAAGCGGAGCTTCCATAGAGAACCCACACCTGCCAATTTTAAAATGTCTGTGGGAGGAAACCGGAGCACCCGGAGAAACCCACAAATCCTACTTTTAAAATGTCTGAGGGAGGAAGCCGGAGCACCCGGAGAAAACCCACAAATCCCACTTTTATTACGTCTGAACCTCTTTCTGAAAGGTAACAGTGCTACTAACTGTGCCATTGTGCTACTTATGGTTGACTGTGAGGACTTTTTGTGAGGAATTAAAATTAATTGTGTAAACATATACAAAAGAGATATATCAAAGGGTAAAAAAATAGTTTTCTCCATATGTCATCCATTTCTCCTCGTCATTTTGCAATTTCTCCATGCACTCTAAAGTTATAGAGGCAGGTGTAGTCCGGATGACCCCAGTTGCTGTTCACCTTTAGAGTAACATGACGGAAGGAACCAACTTTATCGGCCTGTAAGGCAAAAGAGATACAAATTAGGGAGGTTAGATTGATAATCCATAGTTGCAAATAGATGATAGAAACAAAGGAGGTCTGTCTGATGGAAGCCTAGTTCAACTTTCCTTGCTGTAAATACATTTTGCATAGTTTATCTCAAGATAGCGAGGTAATTATACTGATATCTTGCTAACCAGAAAACAAAATGTTCTGTAGTAAGACTGGGATTTTGTTGTTTGTTATACAGAGACAAAAAAATGATTGCTTTGTGAAAAGTGTTGTGACTTTTTTACACTTTTATTTATTTGTTAAGTACAATTTGCATTTTAAGTGACTTCCTTACAATTGTATGTTGAGCATAATTTACATGATGATTATTATTAATTTAAATTAACATGATTGTAAATAATTATAAAAGCTACAGTGAAACATATTTAAGTGCGAGGCATAATTTATTTGAATAGAGGAAGTCTTTTATTTTGAAGAATGCTAAACCGGATGTGGTTCTGTATTTCGTCACTGTCTTGCTTCTGTTGATTTTGGTTGCTAGGTAACAAACAGCTGTGATCAGCTGTCACTGTTTTCTCCTCAATAAAACTGAACAGAAATGTTCAGTAAAGAAATCCGAGTCTCCGTGTTGATTGAAGAATCTCCCACATCTTAATAATAAGAGGTTGACTTTTTGTATTTTGTTACCGTGATGTAATAAAAGTCTCAACGAGATTTATGCCAAGACAACAATATTTTCCTCCTTAATAGATGGCCAAATAAATCTACAGTTTTTTTCCATTTGTTCAAGTTAAACACTTTGTATCTCTGTGTTTTGGAATAGTTATGGTTCAATAACAAAGCTTAATGTGGCTGCATTACATTTAGGCACTATTTTATAGACAACTTAACTAATTGATTAATTTTTCAATGCTTTTTATCAGTTACCACTACTCTGAAAGTGCAAGATTAACATACATTTTTATGGTTTAAGTAGAGTTTTTCATTGAAGCCTTTTGAATGAAACAATAATACGGTACTTTATTCAAAGTATGTTTTTAAATTGAATGCTAGTAATACCCAGAGAAGAACCTTATGATTGTATGTTAGAATATATGATCATCATTTCAATATATCAATATTTATAACAGGGTAGGTCAGTCTGGAACTGTATTTGGTTAATAAAACATTAATTTGACATATTTACAGGAAGTTTGAAGGTCTGTATTTGGTCTCCATCTTCATCGTATTGGAAAGTTCCCAAATGAGTTTCCTCATCTTCTAAATTCTTTGCTCCCTGAGACAAAATTAGATAAAAATTCAGTTCATTATCTTGTTCTTTCAAGATATGTGAAAGTTAGTCGGTGTATCAGAAAACATATCACATCCTGAGATAAACAGAAAATTCATTAGTGCAGACAGAAAGTTTGCATGGTTTAGAATGAGATCAAGCAATGTCATATGGAATCAATGCTATCACATTTTGAATGTATACTTAATATATACTATACATGGCTATATCTATATTACACTTTTGACACTCATTTTATTTGACTTACATATACAGAAAATTCTTTGGGAGCACTAGAGACAGAGGACGTTGGGGACACAGTCTTAGCAATGTGACCCAGGGACACATGTCTGATGGTGGCTGGGTGTGAAAGTGAGACGCCCAAACGTCCCTGGAAACCTGGAAAGGCCCAGCATTTTCCAGGTTGCAGACGATTTTTTCCCTGAAAACAGAGAACAAAATTTAAGTGGGTTACCAAGACTAAGAGAAAAGTAAATCATAAGGCTAAATATATCACCAAGAAACACCACTTTTATTTTTTTAATGATCTGATCATCATTCAAACCTTAATAACAATGCTGGCCAATAGGAGGTCTCTTGAACAATTTCCCAAACCTTCCAACTTCTTTATTGATGTCATAAGCCTCTGAGGTCATCTTGTGTAAAATATTTGCTCCTGTACACAAAACACAAAACAGAAATAATGTGAGTTAGAAAATTTTAATACTGAAAATTTGAAATCTAGTTGATGATCTTATTTGTAATGGCTCGCCTTGAGACTCCAGAGCAAAGTTGGGCCACAGGTCTGCTTGTGGCAGAAGGTAGTCAACCTTCTGCTCCAAGAGCTCCAGGTTGGAGAGATGTCTTTGATCCTTGCGTCCAAAGATCGTAACCTGTGCACAACATAAAAATTAACAGCTTGTTCTCATGTTTGATCATGATAATTAAATCGGTGTTAAGATTAGGAAGAGAAAGCCTACCATGTCTGTTAGAGTTGTGAGAGACAACTCTGAAGATCGTGAGTGGAATGAAATAATACAGCAAATACATCCTGATGAACATGAGCAGAAGACAACAGTGAGACAAATTTCAAAATACAGACTTTCTGTAACACTTACAAATTGACTGTAGGAGAGTATTTACCAAAAGTGACGAAGATGAGAAGACAAAGACTGATATATCAAAACCACCCTGCAACAGAGTCATCATCATCTGTCTTTCTCTGTCAATCACATTGTCACCAGATAATGTGACCTTTGTCTAAATGTGATTGCAGGGTGGTTTGCAGGACGACCTGTTAGCGCCTCCTTATGGCCCTAGATGAAAAATATACAAGTGAGTTAAATGTACACTGATCCGCAGATGACTGCATAAAACATATGACTTAATGAAAATTGATGATTTAATCTACCTGATTGGCGTCTCCCTGTATGAAATAACAGGTTGTCCATCCATATCATAGTATCCGTTGTTTCTCAACGTTCACTTCTTCTTAGCATGACTGTAAAAACCAAAGACATGCAAAAGTGGTACATTTTGGTACAAAGCATGTCCAAATGTACCAACACAACTCTACAGTAAAAGTCATTTTCCTCGTAAACACTGTAAATTTAAAGATGTAATATATCAAAAACTTCATTTAATGTTGATCAGAACATCATTTAGTTACCTATCAAATCAAATTAATCATTTCATGTGTGAAAATCACCAACCATCCATAAAAATTAAAGGAAACTTTCTTTTGCAAGTAGAACTCCTTAATATTTTTCTGCTGTTTCAATACTCAGAGAAGTTTGCAAAAATGCAAAGGTGCTAAAAACACAAATAAGACATTTAATGTTTACATCAAAAAGTTACTCAAATTGTTTTGATGTTGAGCTAAAAAAACTGATTACTAACAACTTGTCTTGCTCAACTTATTTTCAACATTGCTGCACACTTCATTCAATACTAGCACAAAATGTCATTTTTTTCTTTGCTTCACTAATTTCTAAATAAATACTTACTCGAAAAACTGAAGCTCAGTTCAATTTCTTGAATTTTTTGAAGTAATCTATCCGACGTCTAACTCTTCAAATGGATGAATTCCTGTAGGAACTCGGCTCTTATTGACAAAAGTTCCAAAAGCGCCTGATGACAAGTCAGCTTATGTGACATCAGAATGCTCCACAGAACCTGCCCACAATTCATTTCTGCCTCTTTTAAATTCATTTAAAGCATTTAAAAAATTAAGGTACGAAAAAAAAATTATCTTGTTAAATTAGTCAATCAAATCACTGCTCTAAACAAAATCAAGAAATGTTTACTTCCCTACTGACATTTACATGCAGTTATTGCAGTTTTTTAGACATTTGATAAAACATTTCCGTTATTACTGCAGAGCGCTTTCTCTACACCGACACACTGGATTGTACATTTCCTGTTATATATTTACAGTTCAATATGCACATCATGTACATTTGACAAAGTTGTGCTACTTACTTGCACATTATCAAAAAGTTTCTGCTATTCTTGTTATTGTTAGTCCTGTTTTCATATGCACTTCAAAGTTTTGGAACTATTGTGTGAACTTGTATCTAATGCAGCTATAAAACTGAATAAATGTAACCCCAACTTTCTATATTTGTGTATGCATGGTGGAGAAAGGGGACCTATTACATTGCTTATGGCAATGTAATAGTACTATGCACAGGACAATCCATGACAAGCACAGAAGTCCACAACAGTTCACCACTGGAGTTTAGATCAGCGGGTCCATTTACCCAACCACATCCCTCCATGTCTCACTGACATTGCCCCGTTGCAGACCCCAGTAGAACAAATGAATACCCGTGAGAGGCACACTCCAGTACCCCGTACCAAAAAGGGTGGGTAATCTGAACTGTTGTTTTGGCCCATAAGGACAGACAACGGTCAGAACCCTGAACCTCATGCACTCCAGTGTGCATGAGGAGCACACTGGAGCCCCTAATGAGTGTGCACACATGCATGTGCATGAGGGGCACATGCATACTGGAGCATGCATGTGCATGAGGGGCACATGCATACTGGAGCATGCATGTGCATGAGGGTCACACTCATGCACACTCATGCCCTCATACTCCAGTCACACTGGAAGCACTTCCTCAACCAGTGTGCATGAGTGTGCCATCCGTTCATTAAAGTGTGCGCTACTCTTTCTGGAGTTATTTTTAGAGTCCTCCGAGTGCCTGCACGTTGGGGTTCACCCCAACGTGCAGGCACCAAGATGGGACACATAACTGCATGAAGGCACACTGGAGCCCCTCATGCACACTGGAGCATGAGTGTGCATCAGGGGCACACTCATGCACATGCATGCCCCGGCACATGCACACTAGAGGCATGAATGCCTGTGTCTGTGTGTGTGTGCATGAGGGCACATGCACACTGGAGCATGATGAGTGCCACCCTTTCTGGAGTGCCTGCACACTGGGGTAAACGCCAACGTGCAGGCACCAAGATGGGGACACAAAACTGCATGATGGGCACACTGGAGCCACTTATGCACACTGGAGCATGAGTGTGCATGAGGTGCACACTGGAGCATGAGTGTGCATGAGGTGCACACTCATGCACATCTGTGAGAACAGCTCGGTTGTCGTAATTCATCTGTGCTGGAAGAAGTAAAGTTCATGCAAGAGACCTTTCATTCTTGTCGTGCATCTGCAACTACCACACGCCTCCATCACACCGGAGACCAAAAGCACAACATATTAAATAAAATCTACTCAAGAATAGAATGAAAACTTAGAGATGGTGATGTCTCTAAGCTGATTACAACATGCACCTCTTAACTGTGACTGAGTGCAAAACTAGATGAAGTGGCTGATTTCCTGCCCCATTCCTGACCTTCAAATAAAAGACTCAATGTACTGTCACAAAATTAACACTAAAAACCTTTTTACAAGAAATTAAAGACAGCAACCCCAGTTGTTGATCAACTTTAGAGTCACATGGCGGAAGGAACCAACTTTATCGCCTGTAAGCCAAAAATACAAATTAGAGAGGTTAGATATCTCACTGTCGTCTTCTGCTCATGTTCATCAGCTTGTATTTGGTGGATTATTTTCCTGCACTCACGACCTTCAAAGTTGTCTCTTACACCAACTCTAACAGACATGGTAGGCTTTCTCATCCTAATCTTAACCCTGACTTAATTTTCTGAACAAACATGAGAATGAGCTGTTAACTTTTATGTTGTGCACAAGCTACAATCTTTAGATGTAAGGATCAGGGACATCTCTCCAGGCTAGAGTTGTTGGAAAAGGTTGACTACCTTCTACAAGTTGACCTGTGGGGTAGCAGATGCTATGTCTGTAAACAGATATGAGCAAATCCTGAGTTATCTGCACTTTGTGGATAACTGTACCCACCAGCCGGCAAACACAGACAGGCTCTTCAAAATAGCACCAGTGCCAAGTACACTTCAAAAATATTCCTGATGGCAGCAAACCCTGAAGGATTCCAATCAATTGATGAGCAAATAATTCCCTTCAAAGGCCAACTGTCAATTAAGCAATACATACCCAAAAAGCCCAAACCCTGGGGAGTAAAAGTTGGTCAGGGTAGGGTCCTTGGGTTATATGTACAAATTTGAAATATACCAGGGCTCAGCAATTAGGGGTCACAGCAGTGGTTTGGGAATGGCTGGAGATGTAGTGATGCGCCTTTGAGATGACACAAAGCCCAAAAAGGTGTTTTTTGTGAGGCCTTAAAAGACCTTGACATCTATGGCACAGGTACATGCAGCAGAAACAGAGTGAAAGGAGCAAGTGAGAAACTTAAAGAGTGAAAAACAACTGAAAAAAGAAGGCAGAGGAGCCTGCTCTCTTGTCAGCACAAACAGTAACATCACTGTCACAGGTTGGCTCAACAGCTCAGTCATCCACATGGCATCGACCTGTGCAGTCCCCTGAAGACACGGCCGAAAGATGGCTGAAGAAAGAACAAACCAATGTCAGTGTCCAAAGACCATACTTGGTGGCCCTTTATAACCAACACATGGGTGGAGTGGATCTTGTTTACCAGTGTGTGGCAATGTATCCCCACAGATGTAAAAGCAAGCGATGGTACATCAGAGTGTTCTTTCATTTTTTGGATGTGACTGTTGTAAATGCCTGGCAACTCTACTTGATGTCTGGATTGGAAAAGGTGAATCTCCTCATCTTCAAAGCATCTGTGGCCCGTGCACTGATCAATTCTGGCTCCAGTCAGCAAAAAAGAAAAGGAAGACCCAGTGGAGCCCCACCCCCAGCAAAGTGGAGTTAGGCTTACTGCTAACTTGTGTTAAGAAACACTCAAGGAGAGCAGGATAGGGACATTCGGACTACCTCTATAACTTTAGAGTACATGGAGAACTTGCCAAATGACGAGGACAACAAGGAGGAAATTCAAAGTCAACAACTAGTCAGGCCTACAGCCAGCAGCCTAAATTATTGATTTAAATACATCTAATGATTGCAAAAGCATTAAAATCATAACCTCGTGTATTTTGTATTTATTCATACATAATTTACATAACATTTTGTATGTATTTTAAACAATAACATTTGAAACAATAAAAAAATTTCAAAACGGTTTTCTTTCCCCCTGAAGTCTGGAGCATCGTTTCACATTAAGGCGCCTGAATTCAAACGGGCCAATCAGCGCGCTGCGTTGGGCTCCAGCGCAGACAACGTCGATCAGCTTCACATAAGTTTCACTTTGGACTATGGAGTCAAGCGATCATCACTTGTTTCCCAAGTTGTTTCAATTTAGTTCTGTAGCCACACTTGGACTTCAGTTAATTCGGTAAGAAAATCATCAAATGATCTAAATTTGCATATTTATTAACTGTGTTGTGCTGCAGAAAGCGAAGCATTAAAAGTTAACCATTTAGATTAAAAAACAGCCTTTTCGCATGTTTCAGGGACGTGTGATTTAATTTGACGGTTGTATAAGTGAAGCTTGTTTTAATGCCTATTGGACTGGATTTTTCTGCTTTTTTAGGTCAGCTAACCTTATGGCTGCATTCTTTCAAAGATGTATTCTTGCAGCATGTGTAGGTAATCGGCACATTTAAGGCAGGAAAATAGATCCAGAATTTGTTTGTAATCAGATTTTAGCTCAATATCATTTTAATAACTCTTGGATATAAATATTAGATTGTCTCATTTATGTTTTTATAACCTTTATTTTTTTGCATTTTTGCAAACTTCACTGAGTATTGAAACAGCAGAAAAATATTAAGGAGTTCTACATGCAAAAAAAAGTTTTCCTTTAATTTTTATGGATGGTTGGTAATTTTCACACATGAAATGATTAATTTGATTTGATAGGTAACTAAATGATGTTCTGATCAACATTAAATGAAGTTTTTGATATATTACATCTTTAAATTTAGTGTTTACGAGGAAAATGACTTTCACTGTAGAGTTGTGTTGGTACATTTTGGACATGCTTTGTACCAAAATGTACCACTTTTGCATGTCTTTGGTTTTTTACAGTCATGCTAAGAAGAAGTGAACGTTTGAGAAACAACGGATACTATGATATGTATAGACAACCTGTTATTTCATACAGGGAGACGCCAATCAGGTAGATTAAATCATCAATTTTCATTAAGTCATATGTTCTATGCAGTCATCTGCTGATCAGTGTACATTTTAACTCACTTATATTTTTGATCTAGGGCCATAAGGAGGCGCTTAACAGGTCGTCCTGCAAACCACCCTGCAGTCACATTTAGAGAGAGGTCACATTATTCTGGTGACAATGTGATTGACAGAGAAAGACATATGATGATGACTCTGTTGCAGGGTGGTTTTGATGTCTCAGTCTTTGTCTTTCTCGTCTTCGTCACTTTTGGTAAATACTCTCCTACAAACAGTCAATCTGGAAGCGTTACAGAAAGTCTGTATTTTTAATTTTTTTCTCACTGTTGTCTTCTGCTCATGTTTTTTTCAAGACAACCTCAGAAATATGTGAGAGCCATTTAGGATGCAGAATACTTTGGATGTGTGACAGCTCTCCCTATTGCCACACCGAGACAATAATGGTAATTGTTTTCTGTTCTCCCTTAATATTACTTTACATATTGGTTCATGAATAGTTTATATTTGCATTGTTTTCATTCGTCTGAGTATCTAGTTAACTACTTGTAGTGCACTCGTTTAGTTAACTTTATCTGTCAGTTGTTTGTATTTTTTGTTAAAGGCAACAAACTAAAAAAAAATTGAGTTACCAGTTTCCTGTGGACCTACAGCTGAAATCATAAAGAGAGCCAGCTGATGACCTTATATGGCTGTCAACTTCCCCAGTTGGTTGTTCTATTATTGTTCCATTCAAAAGGCTCCATTGAAAATTTCTATTTAAACCGTAAAGATTATGTCAATTCTGAACTTCTAGAGCTGTGGAACGAGACTGGAACTGATTGAAAGCATTGAAAAAAATAATCAGTCAACTTTGTAGCAATTATATTGTCTAGAAATAGTGCCTAGATGCACCATCATGCCCACCTGTAATGCAGCCACAGAAAGCTTTGATATCAAACCTATTTCAAAACAGATACAGAGCGATAAACTTTGAACAGATGCAAAAAACTATTGATTTTTTTTGGCTATCACTTAAGGAGGAAAAAAAATTGTTAGCATAAATCTTGTTAAAAGAATACATCAACTTTTATAATGTTTTGACAACAAAACCTCTTATTACAAAACAATAATTTTTGATGTCTCATGATAACGAAAAAATTCGCCTAACAGTTTGTTTTCTGGTTTGGAAGATATCAGCATAATTGCCTTGCTATCTTGAGAAAAACTATGTAAAATATCTTTACACTGAGGCCAGTTGAACTAGGCTTCCATCAGACAGACCTCCTTTGTTTCTAAGGTCTGTCTATTTGTAACTATGAATTATCAATCTGACGCTCCTAATTTGTACCTCTCTTGACTTACAGGATAACAAAATTGGTTCCTTCCGCTGTGTGAATCTACAGCTGAACAGCAAATGGGTTCATTCAGACAACACCTGCTTCTACGACTTTAGAGCACATGGACAACTTGCGAAATGAAGAGGTTAACAAGGAGGAAAGGGGTATAGGCAAACAAATGAAGAAGAATGAAGAAGAAAAACAACACACATACATGAAGGCTCTCAGACAAGTACAACAGCAACCAATTACATTTTCTTGTTAACCCCCATCTTGGTGCCTGCACGTTGGGATTTACCCCGGCGAACGAGAGGGTAGCCTCCCTCCACCTGGGAGTGGGGGCACAGGTTCTGTCTGTTATTTGTGCTTACACAACAAACAGCAGTTCAGACTACACACCCTTTCTGGAGTCCTTGGAGGTGTACTGGAATGTGCCCCTCATGTGGATTCCTTGTTCTTATACAACTCAGAATAGATAATTGAAATAAAGACACCTTTTGAAAATATTTTCTGTAATATGAATTTTTTTATATAAGTTGTAGCAGTCCCTCAGACCCAAGAAAAATATGGAGAGCTTGGACGGGTGCGGTAGATTCGCATTTAGTGCGATGGAAGCCAAGTTTTGAGAACACCATGAAAACTAAAGAAAAGAAAATACATGACATAGTAACATTACCTTCACAAACTAATAAAGCTCTAAATATGCCACTTCAGAACAATGATCTCCAATCCTGTCACAAAGAAGAAGAACATCCTCTTCCTCCGACTCAACCAAACTATAGCGTCCCCTACTGGCTACTATGGGTAACAAACTACAATCAGCATATATAATGAAGCGGGCATTTACAGAAGTTGAGGACAAACACTAAGTAGCTGACAAAAAATAAATTACTAAGCATAACAGTATCAACACACACACATGACTGCTTCTGTTCTAAGCCTATTCCCATAGCAGTGGATTTCCTCACACTCTTTTTTTCTCTAACCAATTATTGCACTGAACGAAGCACGTACAGCTCCTTTTTAACAACCATCTTCCCAATTCTGAGGCTGGATCTTCAACATCCTCAAGTTTGAAAAACCAGGATCTACAAACCGTGTGTTAGCTTTAGTGGCTAAGTTTTGTCTATGGTCTGTTGTTGCCTTGATATCAGCTGAAAAATTTTGAAAAACCTAAGCACTGGATTGTACTGGCCAATTACTGAACACAACAAAACAGTTGTACCAGTAGCTTGCAGATATTTTAATTTGTGCATCTTGCAGCTACTGCTAAGAGCAATAGGGGTGATCAATAGTCGGTCGCGGGAAGGTTTTGAGTTTATCTCTGCAGCAGGAAGCTGAGACCAGCACTTCATCTTCTGACAGGCTCATCAAAAATATTCACCAAGATCTGGAGCTTTATGAAAATAAAGGCTTAAAAATTAAGACCGACTGACAAGCAGAGCAGGAGTTTAAATGAGCTAATCAACCACCTGTGTTCATGAGAGGCTCATTAATAATCAATAACTAAATGTCAAGCCTGGAAACCTGATGTCATAAAGGACTGAATGTTTATAACGTGATCTTTGCTCGGCTTACGGGGCGCAGGCGGTTGCCACGTAATGGGTGTGCTTAACGAGAAAAAGTAAAAAATGTGCGAGTGGTTATTCTATATTTGTTTACCTTTGCTGTGGCGCATTAAAGCCGCTGTAGTTTATTTTCTTATATCAACTTTAGAAGATTTGCCTTTACCTCTGCAGAGCTCTTTGGTTCCTCCTATCAGTCTGGAGTTTCTCATATTGATGTCATCAAACCAAATTTCTACCAGAACTGACTAACACCTGCTGGCCTCAGGTTTGAGACCAGTAACTTCAGAATCTCAGAGGTCAGTGTGTGGTGTGTTGCTGCGATCAAACCTGTTATATCTATGATGTTTTTTATTGTTACATATAAGGTCTCAGGTTTTGAAAATTGGCCGACAAAGTCTGACAAAGTCCATGTGCCAGGAATTAGTTTGGTTTTTAATATGCAGGTTACAACTGATCATTTCCCCTGAATCCATAAAAATGATCATTTATATAATGTGTAATAAATGTAATTTCCAACTCAGTTAGCACTGTTATTTTTTTTTTTTTAAATAATCATTAACTCTAGGGCGTTCAGCCTAAAAACTGGGTTAACGCCCAGATCAGGGATCATCTGATCAGGACTGTGAAGCATTCACAAGCACTGCCAGTTGTGTTGAGACGTTTTATAATGTCTGTGATGTGGCTCTCTGGTTTTGGAAAGGTGGAACCAGTTAAGACTAGGATTTCTTGTGATTCTGCTGTCCTTAAGTACCATCAGGGACCTTTGTGTAGCAGGCGGTGTTTGACAATCAACACCTACGGGGATTTAAAGATTTCCTAAAACAGAGACCGAGAGGACAAGGAACAGGACGTTCCCTTACCTGGGCAGTGAGAGACCCAATCCTGACCATCAGGGACCTCTGTGTAGCAAGCAGTTTTTGACAAATCAATACCTACAGGGCTTTAAAGAGATGATCAAAACAACCTGGAACACGTAAAGGAAGTGATTTCCCTGACCGGGAATCGAACCCGGGCCGCGGCGGTGAAAGCGCCAAATCCTGACCACTAGACCATCAGGGACCTTTGTGTTGCAGGCGGTTTTTCACAATCAATACCTACAGGGCTTCAAAGAGGTGATCAAAACAACATTGAAGGTATAAAGGAAGTGTGTAGTACATTCTACATTTTCATCACCATTTGTATCAGTTCAGCTGAAACGGAGAGTCAGACTTTGAAAAAATGAAACTTTATTCAATTTATTTAGGTAAAGCACCGTAAAATATATTCAAACTAAGTACTTATTTAGAAATTAGTGAAGCACAGAAAAAATAATAATTTAGGGTAAATTTTTCTTTTTCCTTTTCATGTGAAAAAGATGTTATAACAATCCTGTATCAAGTGTCCATCGTCTGTTTTTCTTGGACAGTTATATCATGCTCCTCACAACTAAAATCTCTCTCTAAATGTTACCTCCCAATTAGTAGGGGAGTTTGCGACTCCTTCTGACCCCAGGTGGAAAATATACAAGTGAGTTAAGATATACATTGATCAGCAGATGACTATGAGTTTTTAAAAAATTTCTAATTTAATACTGGTGTCTCTGTATGAAATAACTGGCACTGCATAAATGTCATAATACCCATTTCTTATCAAACGTTCACTTCTTCTTAGCATGACTGTAAAAAACAACAGACATGGAAAGGTGGTCGGTGACTGGTACAAAGCATGTCAAAAATATACAACACAATTGGACAGACACTTTAAATCGGTTTAATTCGATGTTTTTTATTTTTGTGTCTTTCTTAAAATAGAATTTACAAATTGTTTCTTTTACCAAAGACACTGCACTCCACAAGTATTGTCTTCTAATATTCTCCCTCCTCCACCACTATACTGTGTGGAGCAATTTAAACTGTACAGTTCATCATTTGAGTGAATGAGTCTCTCTCAGGCAAGCATTGTTCTTCAAGAATAACTTATTCAATATAAAACGACCCTGAAGATCCAAAATTTAGCAGAGGAGGCGGCTGTACTCAGACAGAGCTGACGACTTTTTAACACCGTCCCAGATACGCGCAGCGTAGTGAAACCTGGACAGAAAAACATAAAATAAATATGGTGGAAAGTAGATTAAAAAAAAGACAAGATCTGCAAGTCCATAATGAAACTTACAGTGGTTATAATTGCAGCTGTATTGAAATTATTATGGTTTAACAGAAGCAGTAAAGAATACTCAGTTTTTGAGAGGAGGCTTCAAATCTCATTAAAATACAATCCTATTGGTTAAATACTTTAAAAACAATGTGGTCTTTTGAGTTCCAGTTTTTACATTGTGGTATAGAAAAAAAAAAACCTGATGATTAACGTAGAAAAACACCAAAACACACCAGTTTTTCTCAGTGAGAATGGTGTGGACAGCTGACAGCGAGGCATGGCCAGGATCTGACTGCGGAGCTTGGAGACCATGGTGGAAAAGGTGGGGTGACCTCTATAACCCGGCAGCAGAGAGAACAGTGGATATGTTCCTG